GCACTCAGTATCCAGAGTGAAGTGTAGATTTCTTTTTTTGTGTGTTCGTGCTATTGTAGTAAATTATAGCATTAGCGTGATGGTGGTGTAAGTTTTCATTTATCATTGAAAGAGGATTTGAAGGGACCTTTGACCTCGCAAAAGCAATGTAGAAGTTTACAGGAAGAGTACAGAAATAAGTCATTCTATTTCAAACAATCCTAATCACTTGAAAGTACCTCTCTATGTTGAGCAGAAAACCTACTCCTTATAATTTCTTTTGTCCCATAAAAAGTTAACATCCTCTTCTATATAATAAACCTTTGCTTTTTCTCAGTGTATTCTCGTTTTTTTCTTAGTATACTCTTAATATACTAAAAAGTGGACTCAGTGTTTCCTTTTAGTATTTTCTATTTCAAATACACTTTTTATAGTTTCTCTTAATGTTTGTTTTCTAAATCCTTTACCTTTATGAATTTTTAAGTGTGATTCTCCAAGTAGAAGCCTGTCTTCTCATATAATTTAAACAGTTAGAATAATGATAATTCCTTTAATGTGGGCCCCACACACCTGTTAATACAGTCTCTGCTTGGAATATGTATTTTAGGCATCGTAAATGCATTCTTGGTATATATGAAGATCATTAGGATATTGTATTCATAGTATCCTCTCCCTGAAGAATATATAACTGATTTTTTTGAAACAAAATTCAGACCTTTACCTTGACACCAGTTAGTTTCATCTTCTTGGTATCAGTCCAACATTCTAGCATGTTGAGCTTTGATTATTTGATTATTTGATTTTGTTTTCTATCTGGTAGTGACTTTGTCAGCTTTGTGCTTACTTTGTATAAATGCTTACTATACCTTAAATTGAGAAAATAATAAATTCATGAATAACACAAGACTATTCATATTAATTTTTGAGAAATAGGTTTTTTTACATTGCAAGATGCTATAGAGAGGTTGTTTTACATTTTTAAAAATTGGAGTTAATTGCTACCCATTTTTCTGATACTGTGCTATCAAATATGGAGGGACATTTGTTTTTAGTTTCTGCTTTACATTTTGGTATAAATCAGCTTTCTTAGATACTGTCTTTAAAAATTACAAAAGGTTTATAGAAGAACTTGTTTTTATGCCTACACTCTTTGGTAATGATTGATGCCTTTATTTGATCTCAACTTTAATCAACTCGTGAACTATTAGAATCAGCTAATTTGTTATTTATTATTTTTTTCTGTGAGTAATGTTTTCTTTCTTCAGAGCTTCAGGAGACCAGCATCACAAAGGTAGCTTAGCTGCTTTTTTTTTTTTTTAGTTGAGTTAACCTGATTATTGCTTAATTAAGGAGTTCTGTCAGCCCCATGAAGATTTAAAATCATGAATAAATTTTAAGCCATCTGAATAAGTATAGATTTCATTCATGGAGACCCTGAAAAAGTCTGTTAACTAATTCAGAGTCCCCATCAAATATTCTCCTAGCTTAGAATATTTTAAGCCTCTTGTCAATAACAGCAACTGCTTTTATGGTTCTCAAATGGATAAATTTATGATCTGAGACTAATGGACTTTGGTTCAGGGCATTAGACAGAATTCATATTTAATTGATAACAGCGCAAACTTTAATACATTGTTTTATATTATAGATTATAGTATATTAAGTCATCAATTTTTGTCACATGAGTGCACCCTGACAATGTGTTTTGTTTGTGCAAATGTGTTATATTTGTGAAAATGTTAGAGCTGGAAGAAGAGGGTTTAGAGACCATCAACTTGTTTGCAGATTAAATCAAACAAGCTAAACACACATACACATGCACACACATGAATGCACGTGTATGAACTTGCATGTGGAGAATCAAAAACCTAAACCAAGTAACCACAACCTCTTGACCCCATTTCAGTGCTATTTTTTGTTCACTGTTCAGTGTTCATTGTTTGTTCACTGGCTTCCTGCCTTAGTCTCTCCCTGCTACATACAACTCACCCTGTTTCAGAGTGATTTTTCTAACACTCTGAGTATATCACCACCAGACTTTAGAATCTTGATTGACTACCTGTTGTCTACCCTAGGGTATGCCAACTCCCTTCCAGCTTGCCCAGTCCCATCCATGATCTCTCTCTCCTTTTCTCACATAACATCTCACATGATATCATGTTCAATACATATCACCATGTGCAGTTCTTCCATCATGCCTGCTTCTTCAAGCCTTCAAACATGCTGTTCCCTCTATCTAGAATTATTCTGCAAAACTCTGATTCATGCTTCTATACCTAGCACTAAGATCTCCTCTATGAAGCCTTTCCTGCCCACCCCTCCATAGTTAATCTCCTGCTCTCTGCTGCATCTGAACTTCATACTACTTCTTTTAACACTTTGAGTGTGTTTTTATGTCTGAAATCCAAATATTTATACATCTGTCTTCCCCATTAAGTAGTGTGTATCTCTAGGGCGAGACTCTCATTATTTATTTTTCAAATTTTAAATTTGTGCCATGAATTTTTAGAGAGAAATGAACCTAACACTATGCCCAGCAAATAGGAACGAAATGAAATTTTCTTGAATTGAGTAAAAATGATTCTTTTGGATGACTAAGATATTTATAAGACACTAAATAAATGATTAACATCCTAAAGACTATCTTACTGACCCAAATCACAAAGTACTCTCTGGGACTCATGGATATGCTATGGAGTTTTCATCTGTAGGTACCTGATTGCATTGTTGTCTACGAAGAAATTCCAAGTGTGTTTGTGAGGTTTCTGATCATGTTTGACTAGAAATGACAGGCAAGGTGGTCAGGTGTTCACAAGCAATATTTGGATTTTGAAAATTAGATTGTGTCATAAAATGTTGTTGGACCAATCTTTGTCATCTTTTCCAGGTCAGCTACCTTTGATCCTTCATCCAGAATGGGATTCAAACTTGCTGTGCCTGGATTGGAATTCAGTTCTTTGTTTCTGACTGTAACTCTGGGCAAATTACTTAACCTATGAGTCCTGGTTTGGCCACCTGCTTAATAGTGGACAGGACATCACAGGACTAGTGCAAAGATTGAATAAGGTTGACATGATGATGTTAAGTTTTGTGTCCTGGTGAACTGTATTTAGGTGGACACAGAACACCCATCTAACTCAAGTACAGAGGCTTTGGAATTGGACATTCCATCATTTACTTATTATATGATTTGGGCATATTATTTAACTTCTGCCTTTTTTCATCACCTTAAAATGGACATCATAATTTGATTTACTTCACAGGATGAGAAGTGAATAAGAAGCATGCACCACAGAGCCTAGCTTATAGTAGGAGCTTAGTAGTGATTATATTATAATTGAGGAGAGTAAAAAGAAGGCAACTTTAAAAAATGCCAACTTTTTTGCATTTACAATACTTTTGCATAGATTTTATTTTAAAATTTGTCCATTATAGCAGGAAATAACTACAGTAGTCCCTCTTTATCCATAGGAGATATATTCAAGACCCCCAGTGGATACCTGAAACCATAGACAGTACCAAATCCTAATTATACTGTTTAATATAGTATAATTATACTAAGGTATAATTATAATTATACTATACTTGCATATCTATTATAAAGTTTAATTTGTAAATTAGGCACAGTAAGAGATTAAAAACAATAATAATAGAACAATCATAACAATATACTTCATAAGTTATGTGAATGTGGTCTTTCAAAATATCCAGCTGTACTGTACTCACCCTCTTTGTGATGGTGTGAGACAATAAAATGCCTACAAGATGAAGTGAAGTGAATGACACAGGCACTGTGACTTAGTGTTAGGCTACTGTTGACCTGACAGTACATCTGGAGGAGGATTATCTGCTTCCAGATAGAGGTGGAATCTGTGGAAAGCAAGACCGTGAATGATGAGGGACACTCAGATTGTTTCCTGGGTTGTTATCATCATTGTTGATGCTGTACTGATAAGATCCTAGGAGCTGCCTAGGGTTGCCTATAGTTTCAAGCTGCGAAATTAAAGGTAGGAAGTCTTGGCTTCCTTTGTAAACATCTGGCGTGAAGAAATTTGTCTCATTACCTAGGTCTGTAATATGTCTACCTGGAAATGTCAGTTAAGAATTAGTGGACAGTTACTGGGGTAATTCAGACAACCAATGCAGAGTAGCTTGGAAGATGCTCTCAGTACTGCATGCCCCACTCTCTCCTTAGATGAAGTACAGGCTAAAGAGAGAGCAAAGAAGACAGCAATGATAGCTGGGGACCTCACTTCATAAGCATCTCTCATAAACCAGGAGTGGCTGTCTGGGGACTGCTGACTGTTGGAGGCTGGCTTGTGAAATACTGCTGTTGTGCATTCCTGCCCTTTCAGATGAACCTGCTCTAAGCACCTCTGAAACCATCTGCATTTGTGAAAATTCTGTCTTTAGTTCCAAATTCTGACTGTTGAAGGCTGGCTTGTGAAATACTGCTGTTGTGCATTCCTGCCCTTTCAGATGAACCTGCTCTAAGCACCTCTGAAACCATCTGCATTTGTGAAAATTCTGTCTTTAGTTCCAAATACTTTCATTGCTCTCTCCAGTGGTTCTTTTTTTCTTTCATAAAATTTTCACTTATGTCAATTTGCCATTTTTACATCTCACTGAAAATATGCTATAATTCCACTGTTTTTTTGTTACTTTAAATTACAGTAGTTCTGTCTAAAAATCATAAGCCATACAGGCAGCTTTATGCTCTGGACACAACCAAAAATTCCAGCATGCACCCATTTGTATTGTTGAGGACAAGTGAAAGATTACTAGTTATTTCAGATTTCTATTGTTCTAATTTAGTTAACTTGGGTAGTTCACTTTTGGTTGGCCAGAACCTTGCTGGGAGGAGACAAGTGCAAATCAGCTCCTTGGAGTTGTAGCAGTCTAGTGCCTCTCTGCCCCACACCTCCCTTGTATTTTGGTGTCCTTGGGCTCCATCTGACAAAGTAGTCTTGTCAGCTTGATGTTGCATCAGATCTGCCACTAATACCTTTTTTCTATCATAGAAGAAGGCAGACCTTCCGAAAGCAGAGAGATTCTTCAGTCAGAAGATGAATGGAAGGTATTAGTGCTGACGGGAAATACAGGGACTCAAGCCAATGTCATACTCTGGGTGTATGGAGATGAAGGAATTACTGGACCAGTGCATCTTAGCAAGGACAGCCCAGAGCAACTTTTCCTTCCAAGACAGGAGGATGAGTTTCAGGTAAACAATATTGGGAGTAGTATGTTTTTTTAAATACTTCAAAGATATTTCTATAATAAGGATAGGACTGTGTGTGTGTGTGTGTGTGTGTGTGTGTGTGTGTGTGTGTGTGTGTGATTTATAAAGTAAATCTCTGGTCTATTAAAGTCCCATAAGTTACCCTAATATCTATTATAATCATCAAAGGGAATAGTTTTTTTCCTCTCAGGTATCTTATATAAGCAAAGAAAGTTGTAGAACAGAATTGCTTTCTTTAAAGACAATTCATTTTAGGCCATTGGTTTGAAACCAGCCCTATAAGTCATCAACCTCAACTCAAATTATAAGAAGATCATAAGCCATTTAGAGATTCTTCTGGTAATGAAAACCCTTCTTCTGGGTATTTGCATTCATTTTAGATGTTGTCTAGCTGAGCTGTATGGGTGTAAGATCATTTTCTTAGCATCTCCACAGGCCATATTTTGAAGTTCTGTGCATGCCCATTCGAATATCTTTCTACTTCATTTTGCATCAGAGAACACTGGGCTGCATTATTTTGAATATCTCAGTTGTTTCTTCTAGTTCCTCAGGACTTTGGACAAATTTTAGTTAGGACAGTTACATTTCTCTTCATTAATTCATCCCCCATCCCCACAGGGTAAATGCTACATGATTCTTCGGTGCACTGTTAAACAGAAGTTGTTCTCCCTGGAGAATATTCCTTTTGTGTCCTAAGACTGGATATAGAATAGAGAATGATTGAAGCCACCTTTAGTCTCCAGGAAGCCAAGGCTGTTTGAGGCAGCAGTAACTGAAAATCACTAATACAGCTTCAGACCTGAGCGTACTTTTGCAATCATTAAATTTTTAGTGAAGGAAAGCAGTCATGAAGGAGGACTTTAGCTTAGTGCGCAGACAGTCATACAACACATGCATTTCAAAAGATTATTTGAAGATGATTGTTTAGAACTCGGAGTGTATATGTTATGGTTAGAACCCTAGGCCACCCTGTAAGTCTGTTATTACCCATAATATATCTGTGGTTTATGTATTTATGTGCTAGTAAATATTGTTAATGATTTTCTGGAAAAATTTATCCAGGGCCCAATCTTGATTGAACATTGGAATCACCTAGAAGCTTTAAAAACTACTGGTGTCTGATTCTACCTCGAGAGATTCTGGTTTATTTTGTCTGGGGGAGCTGCCTGGGCATTGAGGTTTGTAGTACCTCCCCAAGTGATTCTAAAGTACAACCAAGGCTAAGAATTCCAGTTACAGCACTATAGAGAAAATGAAAGTTCCTATGGCTAAGATTCTCACCTGACCCTGGTCAGCTTGCTAGAATCCTGTCCCCCTCAGGGCAAGTCTGCATGCATCAAGCTGGTCTCTGCCTCTGGGCCCCTCCGCCCCTACAGCTGTCTCTGTCTCTGTCCTTGGTGCTGCCACCACTCCAGCCTCTGCTCTCCTGCAGCCATGCAGCCCAGAGTACTGGGCAGAGCTCTTTATGTAGAGTTATTTTTTATTCTCACTGAATCAAGAGTGAACTTGCCTGGGCTTCTCCCCAAGACTGGGAAGAGATAGAGGTGATGCCTGAAGCAGTAGAGTTGGCCCTCAGCAAAATAGAGAATTCCTTAAAGAACAGAGTGCCTGTGAGGGAGTGGGAACTATGGGTTTGCTTTTTCTCACTGTTAAAATAGGCAATATGGGAGAAGGGCATACTCTTGCAGGAAGCAGGAGAATAGGCAACATGAGAATGCAAGCTGCAAGGTGCAATAGAGGTGGTAAAAAATTTATTGATAACTAAGATGGTGTCACTACAAGGTGCTGTGGAGATGGTAAAGGATGTAATGGTAGCACAAGAAGAAGAAACACAAGCATGCAGGCTTTGAGGTGCTGTGTGGGAGGTGAAGGATGTAGTGGTGCCATCAGCTCCAGAAATGGAGGAGGAGCTGGGGTTTGAGAAGCAGGTTGGGGTAGAAGCATTGGCATATCCTCAGCTGAAAGCCCACTTGATTGAAAGCCTACTGCCTTGTACTTAAGAAAACAGACACAGCAACCACAGGTTCCTTCAGGAGAGGTGCAGCTCCCTCCTCAGGTCATGAAGCACTCTATGCTCTGTCCCTATACTCAGACTGAGCTAGTGAATTTCGGCTCCCAGTTTTGCAGAAGCCCCTGGAGTCAGTATCAGCTTGGCTCCTCCATATTTGGGATGTAGGTGCTGATGAGATTATTCTGTCCGGGTTAGAAATGGGAAAACTGGCTTCCCTGATAACTCACTCTTTTCTGAGGCAGCAACTGCAAAATGCACATCCGACCCCAGAAAATCACTCCCTTCTCAATTGGATTATTGTCACACTTCCCAGTGTATGGCCCAATTAGGGTCATACCATCTAGCATTTTACCATCTTTCTCCACTAGGTGGCACATGTTTGCTGAGCTCCAACAGGTGTTACAGGCATTAGGCATGAAAAATGCCATTTCCAGAGAATTATGGCCCAGGTGAGGAGCCTTTTACTGTGGGAATGAGAAAAGTGGTGCTTCAAATGGCTCTTAAGGCCCTCTTTGGGGTGCTAGTGGCCATTCTTGCTTCTCAGTTGGGGCAGCCCATAAGTGAGGTTACATGTGGTAGCAGACTTGGGAGAGGCTGAAACAATGAGCACATGGCAGGAAATACTGTCCACTATTCAGAGGAAGAATTTAAAGGGCCCTGTGAAGTTCATGAGGACCCAGATGTGGGTTGATTTAATAGGAGCAGGAGCAGATAGAAAAATTGGATTTGAAGTCAAATAAAATATTACTGGAGCTGTGGCAACAATTGAAGCCAGGGCATTGGTTTCAGCAGTCGAGGACCAAGAAATAGAAGCTAGACACAAAGCCACAAGACCTGTGTGTGTGCAAGACTTTCTGCTGGAGAGGCTGGAGAATTCCTCCAGGAGCTGGAGAAGGTGGGTATTGTAAGGCCTACCTGTGGTCCTTTTGGTTCCCTGGTGTGGCCAGTGGAAGAGCCAGAGGGCTCCTGGTGTGTAACTCTAGACTGCAGACAACTGAGTGGAGTCATGTCTCCTCTGCATGCTGCTGTCCCCTTTCTTGCAGCCCTGATGGACAAGATTTGCTTATTTTGGTGTCACTGAAACATGTATCTTATCACCCTTAAGGTTAATCTCCCCTAGTGTCTGTGTAGATTAGGCACACACCCTAGCAAAAACTGCTGCTCGCTGGGCTGGTGTGCATGGAAAGTGCAAGTCATGAACTCTTCTGAGTAGAATTGGTTTGAATACAGCTGAAATGACCAGTTGGTGGCAACTGATCTCCTCAGGCTTGAGGGTTATTATAATTTCTGTTATCTGTATCATACTTTCTGTTATTTGTATTATTGTTGTAGTCTCTGTTGTTATTGTGGAATTTGGTTACAACATTCCAGCTTTCTCACACAGAGAACATCATGGAAGATAGAGGGTGCATGGATCGTGAGGCAAGAATCCTGAAGGGTTAGAGTCTAGAGAAAATGAAAGTTCCTATGGCCAGGATTGCTCACTGCACATGTGTGGGCAATATGTTATTATTGACTCCATATAAAGAGCTCTGCCCAGTGCTCTGGGCTGCATGGCTGCAGGAGAGCAGAGGCTCGAGTGGTGGCAGCATCTAGGACAGAGACTGAGAAGGCTGCAAGTGCGGAGAGGCCCAGAGGCAGAGACCAGGTTGCTGCAGGCACACTTGAGCAGATGGGATTCTCATACTTGACCTGCCAGTGGGAGAAGAAAGCTGGGTCTAAATCATTCCACCCAAAAATGTTCCATTGTCATTTTTTGGTCTCACCAAATCAAGAGTTAATTTGCCTGGGGCTGAAACCCACCAGTGAGACAACTACAAAGCAGGTGAGCTAGATACTGGAGTTCTAGGTTTCTGTATACTCACTGTGTGACCTTGAATACGTCATTTATTTTCTCCAGACCAGCATTAATTTTGCATATTGAATGGAGGCAATGATGTCTGTTTTTTCCTAAATCCAAGGGTGGTCTGTTAATGAAAAGAGAAAATATATGTATGTTAAAAAATCATATTGACATATAGGGAATGTAGTAAATTGGTTAAGAACAGAGGCCTTGGAGTCATGGAGACTGGTTCAACCACTCAGTAGTTCTGGACCTTAAACAGATTGCTTATCCTCACTAATCATCAGTTTCCTTCTTGTTAAAGAGGGTTTGGGATGTGTAGCATGCACTGTCCCTGGTAGACAGGAAGTGCTCTGGGATGGACACCTAGTGACCGAGGACTCCTCTCCTGATTGATGGCAGCTGCATGTGCTTCTTCTAGTTTCCTTAGTTACATGAATGAGAACAGGGACTTACCCAGCGGCGAGTTACTGCCTCAATAGTAGAAATCATGATGGGTATGAAAGTCCTTGAAGAGTCTAGGGCCTTGGGAACCCCAGGCCAGTAGAATGGACATCTACTGGGAGCTTGTGAAACATGCAGAATTTTAGACCCCATACCAGATCTACTGAATCAGAATCTGCATTTTAAGATCCCTAGGTAATTTGTATATACACTAGTGTATGAGAAGCACTTGTCTAGAGTAAAGGGGCAGTGGGATTGGGGCCTCTTGAGTGACTGAGAACCTTAATTCAGAACTAGCTAGCTGATTCCTGTTCTCTCTTCTGTGGGCATTGACTCCCTTGTTCTTTTATACTGGCATCATTTGCGACTTCTGAATTAGTCTTCTCTCTTTGCCTTCCTTCCAGTCCTGAAGTGAGCACCTGGCCATTTTTCAGGACAGTGTGGTGTTTCTGATCAAATAGGCTTGGGGTTGAGTTTTACTTTTGGAACTTAACATAGTGTATCCAGCTGTGATCTTTAGACAAATTCTTTGAGTTTCTTCATTCTTTAAAGTTAGATTCCTTAAAGATCCTTACTCTTCACAGGACTGCTGCATAGATTGGAAGAGACCATGCATGCCAAGCGCTGGTCCCATCTGGCACAGAGCTGAGCTCATCATGTTGTAGTTCCATTCTCCAGAAGTCATAGGCAGACAGGCATGAAGTCACATACACCTGGGAACCTGACTGTTCAGTTAGCCCTTTATTTTTTTCACTTAGAATGTGCAGAAAGAGAAAGTTTACACTTAAGTGATAATAGATTCTTGGGACAATGAAAGGATATTTAAAGATTGGCTTATATTTGAGAGAGAAACTAGGCCCACATTGGGAGAAAACTTCTTATTTCCTCTGATGGGAGGAGTTAGCTTCTGAGTTCTGCCACTGAGGTCAGCTCTGGCAGTTAGAAATTGGGGGGCCATTGGATATGGGGGTGTGGGTAAAATGAGAGTTTCTATGGCCAGGATTTTCACCTGGCCCTGGTTGACTAGCTCACTGCACACCTGTGGATAATACATGGCTGTTGACTCTATATAAAGAGCTCCATCCAGTGCTCTGGGCGCAACACAGTGGCAGGGCTGCAAGGCTGCAGGAAGACAGAGCAGAGGCTGGAGTGGTGGCAGCACCGAGGACAGAGGCCTAGAGGACGACTGTGCAGACAGAGGGGCCCGGAGGCAGAGACCGGCTTGCTGCATACAGACTTGCTCTGAGTGAATGGAATTTTAGTGACTGACCTGCTACCTGGAAATAAAAGTTGGGTATAACCCTTCCACTCCAAGAATGTTTTACTGTCATTTTCTTTGGTCACATTGAATCCATAGTGAACTTGCCCATGGCTGAAACCCATTGGCAAGACAGGGGGATTAATAGCCCTCTTTTCCTTCCTCCCAGTCAGTGACATCACAGTCCTTTTGGACTTAGTGGTTAATAGCCACAGGGCTAGTCTTGATGCTGCAGTCTAGGGGAAAACTGTTAGGGTCGCTGGGAGGCACTTAAAGGAGAGATTTTTTAAGTGTGCGAAGTGGGTATGAAAGAGGAATTCTGATGGCTTCAGGGTCATCTGACTGTCCCAGCTCTTCTCAGGGTATAATTCATAGGTAGGCAATGATATAAATCAAACATAATATGCAGTGCCTCCCTATTCATATCTCTAGTCTATGGAGGTAGATTAGCATCTGTAGTAGAAATAATGACAATGGCTATTATTTAAGCTATTAAATAATATGGTATATTGCTTTTTTAAAATCCTTTTAGGTCAGTGTCCTGGACATATCTTATTATACTGAAAATGTCTGCTTAGATTCTCTCTCACTGAACTATAAATTTCTCTAAGTTAGGAACTATGCCAGGATTTTCATCTTTGTATATGGGTGGCCCTGCACAATGTCTACATTATTGTGTTAAATAAACTCTCATTTTGTTACACTGAGAAATCTATGCAATAGAGATATTTCCATTCAACAGATTAAGAAATTGAGGACCAGAGATATAAAATACCATATTTTACTCAGATTACAACAGCCAGAATATCAACTGAACTCAAAGTGATTTCAAAGCCAGTTCTGCACCTGGATTAACAACTCCTGGGCCATGTCAAAAACTAACCAAATACATATATTCTGTGAGCAGGTTTGTTTTTCTTCTTTGAAGTTTGAGCATCTATGTCTTAGCCTACAAATTCAAGAGAGGATTTTCAGAGTAGAAGGAAGTTCTAGACTCACTTTTCCTTAAGCTTGTAGAAAATCTGTGTTTAGTTTTGATGAAAATTGCTTTTTTTCTTCTTAAAATAAGAGCCCATCTCTCTGTCATTGGAACTCAGCTCAGGAGACATTGGCTTCCAGTGAGAAATGTGTGGTAGTCAGAGAGCTGAGCATATGTATGTTCTTTATCCTATTCTTTCATCTGACTTCTGCATATTTTTAGTTTAGTCTCCTGATGTTTCTGTCTCATATGCTGTCTGTGGAGTCCACCAATAGCTTCTTGAGAGAACTAATCTCTAGACTCTGAAAGTGTCCCTAACAGCTTTTCAATTATTCAATTAAGAAAAAACTCACATTTATTAAGAAGAGAGAGGGTTTTTTAAACGTGCTTAATTTAAAATATTCTTCTAATTTTTTCTTCTTTGCATTTCATCCAGGTTGAAATAAGAAACACTGGAAAGATATATAAGATAAGGATAGGACATGATGGAACTAGTGAGCAACCTGAGTGGAGCTTACAAAGGGTAATTTTTAAATACTGTGCTTCATAGTTATTTTATTATGAAAAGAAATAAGCAAGCTTCTTAAAGTAAGGAGAAAGGTAACATTGTCCTAATTGTTGTAAATGTGAACAAAATTTTATGGTTATGACATTATAAACAAATATGGCCCATCCTTGTGAGTTTTTTAACAATAACATTTTTGTAGTTAAATTTACAAAAGCAATCTGTGTTCATGGAAGAAGATCTGAAGAATACAGTAAAGTATAAGAATAAAATTGACCTGTTATTTGTTGATCATTAGATGATCACTAGGGTGATTCATTTTCTTCAGGTCTTTTTCTATAAATCTCTCTTGTGAACTGTCTACACACACACACACACACACACACACACACACACACACACACACATGAAGTGTATATATATGCATATATTATATATTTATACATATACATATAAATGTTTCCATATATTACATATATAGTTATATATATTTTGCTTTTAATGATATTGAATCATTCTATTTATGCACTTCGGGTCCTGCCCCTCTGTTTTTTCCTTATCATGGCAATAATAAAAATAAAAATAATTTTTGTTGTGTTCTTACCATTTGTCAACTGCCTTACAAGTGCTATCATATTTCTGTTGCCAACAGCAACTCTTTGGTTTAGGTATCACTGACATCCCCATTTTATGGGTGAGAAAACTGAGGCTCAATAAAGTTAAATGATTTGTCTGAGACAACTTAGTAATGGTCTTATTGTATGTTGAACTCCAGGTACTGAGATCTTAAGCACTATCATTTAACCTTAGGGTTGTTTTCAAAAATAGATGGCAACTAAATTCTTGGAAGCCATGAGATTTCTGTAAAAAAGCAGTAATCATTGTAATAGGTTAGATGACCTAGCTTGAATCATAGAACATCTCTGCTTTCTGGCTTAAATTACTGTGTCTGTCACTCATTCCTTCATAGTACATAATGTTATTTTGGCGTGTTTGAGGTTTAAAAGTTTAAAAAAAACGGATATAATTTAGCAAATCTATCATTTTTCTATTTAAAATGTTTTTTGATCTTACCTGTANTCATTTCATTTTAAGTTTTGCCAAAAAAATTACTTGTATCCTTTAAGGAAAAAAAAAAATGTTACCAGAATTCTGAAATGAGTTTTAAGAACTACTGAAGAGTCTGTAAAAAGAAAACTCTTGGAAGAGATTAGGTACTGATTTAAAAAATACTTTGTAAGTTAATAGGTTTAATTAGTGATTAGTTTTAAAGTATCTTTATAAAAATATATTATCTACATTTTTAAGATGTTCTTACCATACATAAGAAAGATACAGGATTGGACTCAGAAATAGAAAAGATGAGGCTCTGAGGAAAGCCAGCTGTCCCTGGAAGCATTAGGCAGGAAGAATAGGAGTTAAAGAGTTACATAAAGTTTTACTGAAATGTGTTTTCTAATACATGTAATAAGTACTTTATATCATTCAAAATGTTATTCACCACTTACTGTAATATTTATTTTGTATTGGACTGGGTTTAGGAAAATATCATTAGGATAAAAGAAGTATTGAAACCATGTATTATTACAGCAAAGAAGAAAAGAAAGGAAGGAAGGAAAGGAAAGAAGGAAGGAAGGACAAACAAAGAAAAAATCAATTAGCTTAGTCTATAGATATTCAACCTTCTTCTTTGCCTATGTATAACATATTAAAACCAAATTTGGGTACTATTGTTGTATAAAGAGTTGGTGACCTGCTGTAGCACAGACAAGGCTATGTGCTCATTACACTGTTTCCTCTTTCTACTTATACAAGACTATATTTCCCAGCCTCCTGTGAAATTAGGTAGAGGGCCATAGGACACATTTCTTGCCAATGGAATAAGAACAGAAATATTGTTTCCGAGTTCAGCTTTTTTACATTCTACATATAAGTGAGATCATGCAATATTTGTCTTTCTCTGTCTTTTTTCACTTAGCATAATGCCATCAAGTGTGGTCCATGTTGTCACAATGGTAGAAGTTCCTTCTTTTTTATGGCTGAATAATATCCATTCTACTTATGACCACATTTCTCTATCCATTCATCCAGTGATAGATACTTGGTGGTTTCCATGTATTGGCTATTGGCTAGTGTAAATAAATGCTGCAATGAACATGGGCGTGCATCTATATATATATTTTTTTGGTATCATTAAAGTATAATTACATGAACAACATTATGCTTACTAGACTCCCCCCATTATCAAATCCCCAGCACATACCCCACTACCATCACTGTCCATCGGCATAGTAAGATGCTATAGAGTCACTACTTGTCTTCTCTGTGCTATACTGCCCTCCCCGTGTCACCCTCCCCACATTTTGTGTGGTAATCGTAATGCCACTTTTTCCCCTTATCCTTCCCCTTCCTACCCATCCTCCCCAGTCCCTTCCCTTTGCTGTTAGTCTATTCTTGGGTTCTGTGAGTCTGCTGCTGTTTTGTTCCTTCAGTTTTTGCATTGTTCTTATACTCCACAAATGAGTGAAATCATTTGATACTTGTCTTTCTCTGCCTGGCTTATTTCACTGAGCATAATATCCTCTAGCTCCATCCATGTTGTTGCAAATGGTAGAATTTGTTTTCATCTTATGGCTGAATAATATTCCATTGTGTATATGTACCACATCTTCTTTATCCATTTATCTATTGATGGACACTTAGGTTGCTTCCATTTCTTGGCTATTGTAAATAGTGCTGCGATAAACATACGGGTGCATATGTCTTTTTCAAACTGGGCTACTGCATTCTTAGGGTAAATTCCTAGGAGTGGAATTCCTGGGTCAAATCATATTTCTATTTTTAGGTTTTTGAGGAACCTCCATACTGCTTTCCACAATGGTTGAACTAATTTCCATTCCCACCAGCAGTGTAGGAGGGTTCCCCTTTCTCCACATCCTCACCAACATTTGTTGTTGTTTGTCTTTTGGCTGTTGGCCACCCTAACTGGTGTGAGGTGATATCTCATTGTGGTTTTAATTTGTATTTGTCTGATGATTAGCGATGTGGAGCATCTCATGTGCCTGGTGGCCATCTGAATTTCTTCTTTGGAGAAGTGTCTGTTCAGATCCTCTGCCCATTTTTTAATTGGATTATTTGCTTTTTGTTTGTTGAGGTGCATGAGCTCTTTGTATATTTTGGATGTCAACCCCTTACTAGATATGTCATTTATGAATGTATTCTCCCATACTGTAGGATGCCTTTTTGTTCTACTGATGGTGTCATTTGCTGTACAGAAGCTTTTTAGTTTGCTATAGTCCCGCTTGTTCATATTTGCTTTTGTTTCCCTTGCCTGTGGAGATACGTTCATGAAGAAGTTGTTCATGTTTATATTCAAGAGAGTTTTGCCTATGTTTTCTTCTAAGAGTTTAATGGTTTCATGACTTACATTTCAGGTCTTTGATCCATTTCGAGTTTACTTTTGTGTATGGAGTTAGACAGTGATCCAGTTTCATTCTCTTACATGTAGCTGTCCAGTTTTGCCAACACCAGCTGTTGAAGAAGCTGTCACTTCCCCATTGTATATCCATGGCTCCTTTATCATATATTAATTAACCATATATTCTCGTGTTAATATCTGTACTCTCTATTCTGTTCCACTGGTCTTTGCAGGCCCATTACTTTTTAAAATGCCTTTCAATTTTTGTTTTTTATGATTAGATTTGAGTTATTCATTTCTGGCAGAAATTCCACAGAAGAGATGGTGCGTTCTTTTCAATGTATCATATCAAGAGGCACACAATATAATTTTGTTTCTTTCCTGGTAATGCTCTCTTTGGGCAGTTGGTTGGAGTGGCATCTATCACAGTTCTTTAATGTAAAATCATAGGTATTTTGTACCTATTAGTTAATGATTAAATAATAGTATTCTGTGGTGAGACACTTTGTTGTCATAAAATTTTCACCCACTAACTTAACATTCCTTGATGATTCTTGCCTGAATCCATTATTACTGTAATCCTTGCCAAATGGTGACTTTTTTATTCTGCCATTACTTTTCTATTTATTAAATGGCATTCTACTACAAGATAAAACTTTACTTTCTACCCCACTTAAAATTTATTTATTCATACTAGGACAATCTTAATGGATTCTTATTTTACTGGATGAGTTTAATCTGTTTTTATTATCATTTATTTTGAGGCTAAAATCATCCTAGATTTGGCCTGTGGAGATTCTTCAAGTTCCTCTTTCTTTTTGACATGTCCCCATCCATAATCATACATTTTTACTTTCTGACACAAAAAGATGTTTCAGACTTTTCTAACACTTTCTTTTCCCCAATTCTGGAGTGAGCCATTTCTTAAGGAGCCCTGGTTTCTTTTAGTGGAGAATGACATTTAGAAACTAGCATTTGTGTGAGACACACAGAGAAGTTACTTTCCCCATAATGCCCACCTACCTCAGTATAGAGGCCGCCTCTCCTGACTTGAGAACATGGCTGTGCTTCTGCTTTCACAAGATGCTCCCAGGAAATAGTTCCATTGTGAAACAGTGAGTTTCTCATTCCTCTCTTGGAGATTTGCAATGCATGCTAGCACAGTTAAGGCTCTGAGATGCCCTGTGGTAAAGAAATCTATTTAACAGCACTTGCAAACTAAGTTCACTGTGGGACCATATTTTTCAGGTAAAATCTATCACTCATAGCAGGAGTCTATACAGAGGCTGAGGTGTGGGTTGCTTTTCAAAAGAGGTATAGGACAAGGGAACTCCAAGAGGAGAGAAAAGCTGAGGAGAGGGGGCTTATGTGCCCCAGTGAAGCTCTTCAGTAGCAAAGTGGGGCATCTCTGTGTCACAGAGCTCCCAAGGACAGCAGGAGGTTGGAGCCTTACAACTACAGGGCCCTAGCTTATCAATAGGAAACAGCTGCTGGGAGGGTTTCTGTGGGATATGCAAAGAGTCAGGCTCTAAATGGCTAATGATTTGTGTGTTTGGGTTGTCTGTTGTCTTTTTATTATTATGTAAGAAATTTTTGGGGC